TATGGATTCACACACATTTCCATCATGTAAATCATAAACTTGGTATTTTTCACATAGTGGTTTCTCTTTTGATAAACTGCATATAACCATCCTCCCTTACACACAAACTAATTGATTTCCGTGCCAAAAAAGTCATTTTCGTGGTCTCGCACTCTGTTGTTGCCATGGTGAATACCCACTGGTCATCGGGCTTTTTTCTATGCATCCTACAGATAATCATGTGATGCTTTGCCTGAAGCATTTTATGTCTAAACGTAGGCCTGTAGATGCTGAGCCACAAAGCTAGTCCACATCTGCACATTTGTAGGTTTCTCCCTGATAAATATACCATTGCCTTGACTATTTTTTGCCTTCTGCCTGCACATGCACTTAGTGTGGATCCAGTGGACTGTTTTATACACGAGGCTTGTGGTCTCCATTCTTTTCCCGTAGTCCATTACCGCATACATGCCATCTCTGCTTTTTCCAAAACTTCCCAGTCTGAATTACTCAGAACTTGCAGTCAGCACATAAATGTGCCAAAAGGACTGTGCTGCAAAGGTCAATGCGGTGGCTTCACATCCTGCTCTTCCCTGCACAGTTTCATCTTTGCAGTCACTTGCTCACGGGGAGCTTTAGAAATTCCAACTTGAATAGACCCCTTGTGATTCTTCCTTCCAGATGTGTTGTGTTGCGCCGAATAACAACGTCTTCATCATCACTTTTTCAGTGGCTGCACGCACCATATGCACAGAGCTGGTTGTAGCGTTGCGCCTTGGGTGATGACTGAAAGCTAAGCTGACCCGAGAGTTCACAGTCACAAGCAGCTGGGACTGAAAGACTCAGCAAGTTCAAATGCTTTGTTTCCCTCCCTTCTTTGTTTCAGTTTATATTTTGCCCTGGGTTGATAAGAAATATTTCATTTTTGCTATTGTATTTTTTGTTGTTGTCCACATCTGTTACTTATAAGTTCTGTAAGGAAATGATATCACTTTCAGACAGTGTTTTGTCAAAATGGTGAGAGATCAAATAACTAGATTCGGAAAGATTCTGCACACAAACTTGCAAATACAAATGGGATTAATTGTGTTTTCTAGCTTCAAATGATCTTTTTTATTTTTTATTTTTGGTGTTATTATTCTTAAGACAAGTGTTATCCATCATCACTGCATGTTAGGCTGCGTGGTGGAGTTCCGGTTAGGACTGCTGCCCTATGGCTAGAGCTCTGAATCTCAGCTGGGGCTTTTTTCTGTGTTGAGTTTGTTCGCTTGAGTACTCTCCAGTCACTCTGTCTTCCCCCCACCCTCCAAAAACATGCATGTTAGATTGATTGGTAACTTTAAATTGACCTTAGCAGTGAGTGTGAGCCTGCGTGTGCAATTTGTTTCCAAGAGGACCTGCCTCTTGCCTAAAAGCAGCTGGAACCGGCAAACAGCCAATCTGTGCTTGGACTCTGGGATTCTCTGGTTAGTTCAGGGACAGTGAGTGGTAGAAGTTCATCCATCTGGACACCCCTCATTCCAAAAAATGTTGACAATAGAGTTGGCTATCCTGCAACAGAACCGGCCACAAAGTGATGAAAGTTGCGTTGCTCATTGAAGTTGTACATCAACTTGTTGGCCACAGTTATGAAAAAAATAAAACCAGACAATAATTTGCGCACATCGAGGACCTTTCATCCTCTGTTTCTGTATAATGTTACTTTTGCATTTTTTTCACTTTTCTAGTCTTTTAGTCATTTAGCTCTGTTACAAATAGCTTGTTTGTCTAACTGACCAAGACACCTGATGTTCTTTAAGTAACTACTTGATCTCCTCTGATTAAACTTACAGCTGCCTGTTTGTAGTTGTCAGTAAAAGTTCAGATAGACACAAAGCTGTCTGTTGCCCTCCTGTCTTCCAGTATGTATGGTCATATAATGAAAGAAGCCTCCCATGACAGACCCTGTCATTGGTATAGTGAAACAGACATGTAAAAATGTAAAATAATGTGAAAATTTGGGTCATATTTTTTTTATCAACTTCTGGTTGTGTCACTTTCTGTCCTCCAAATCAATTGGATTAAATCTTATGTAAAGTATTGCGCAAGAAAATCTGATGACATTTATTCAGATGTATGTGGGCATACGCTCATTTCTGTTTACATGCCTTCCTGACTCTATTGCCTCAGCATAATTTGATCTTCCTCCCAATTTGAGTTGGATATTTGTTTGTTATGGGGGGGTAATGTCGCCCCATGTTGTTCTAGAAGCCAAAAAGGTGGCTGGTGTTAAATGGTGCTCACGGGAGGGGACTGCAAGGCATGTGAACCGCGGCGTGACAGATAGCACGAGCTTGAATGGTGATGGAATTATAATAACACATACATCACCATATCGCATACAGTAAGAGAAATATTCTGCTTGTGTTCTTCTTGGCAGCAAACGAGTAAAAGAGACTAATGTTATGTGCATCTTTTTTTAGGGGAAACACGAACAATATTTTTTCATAATGGTTCTTTCTTTCCTATTACTCTACCTGCTATATTCTGCTTTCCCTTATCAGAGTCTTAACTCTTTTGAGAATCACACAGCGAAATCAATTTTGCCTGGCCTCTTTGCCTTTGGAAGAGAACACAGGCATATATAAATATTCACATTTGGCTATTTCAGATACTCAGCTTAGGGACTAGATGAGCTGTTTTTCTGTTTGATCATGAAGGAAGTATACATGTGTCTCTGGATGATTTCCCTCTTTCCCTGTGCATCCTTCTCTCCTTTCATTTCTTTTGCTCTAAACTCTCATTCCGCTGACTCTCATACATCTCTTTCATGAGTTTTGAGCTTGTTTTTCCTCCCATATCCCTATGTGCATGTCTTTTTCTGCCTTTATGTTTTTCCCACTAATTCCTCAATGCATTTATGGTAGTCACTCTTTTTTTATCATTAGAACTTCCCCTCTTCTTCTCTGCTTTGTTGTCACTTCATTTCCTCTCCACTTTATTCATTTTGTCTATTTCATCTCCTCAGATCTTGTCCATTTTCATGATTTTCCTTCCTTGCAAGGTTCTGACCCCTCATGTTCAGTTTTTTAGTGTCTGTCTTTAACCATGGTTTTATAACCCAACCATAATTTTAACGGTTATAGTTGTATTCCAGAATTTAATAGCTTTTTAAAAATGATCCTCATTAGCTCTTTATTTCGTTTCCTGCTCTGTTTCGAGTATTGCACCTTTTTTCCCCCTGAAGTCATTCTTCATTCTTCTCATATGCTGCTGTGTCTGTAAAGATTTGAAGCCTAATAACTAGTAATAAGTCACAGTTATGTAATGGATATGCATTTTTATTTATGGCGTCACATCCAAACTGAGAGGAGTTTGAAGGAATTACAGCTCTTTAATAACTCTAACTGTCTTATATTTTGTACATTGTCTTATAAGTGTCACTCCAGCCGTGTTATTTTTGGCCACCATAAATAAATTCATTTGGACCCCTAGTTTTGAATTTTGTCTTCCTATACAACAGTGAGTCACTGCAGACACTGCAGACCATTCAAAGCTGGAGGGGCTTGGCCGGTGCCTGAAGATGTAGTCGGGAGGCTGAGCCTGGACTTTGGGGATAACTCTTGGACAGGTCTGCCTACGGCAAGCTGGAATAGAACTCAGCAGGTAAGGATTTTCCTCTAGTATTCTAACTGCTGCCCAGGCAACTCTTCTATGCATGGTGCTGTGCTCTGGACACTCCAACACTGATGCCCGAATCATTGTGTAAAATGATTGCGGGGCGCGTCTCTGCCCACAACAAAAGTAACTGATTTAAAAGCCTTTTCGTGTTTCCATGTTAAAAGCTTTTCCACTTTCGTTTGTATTTGAAAGCTGCCGCCATGAACCCAAAACCTGTGGTCAAAGGAGTTTTCGAGTGAAACGGGCCATTATTCGTGTGTAAAAGGAGAGCAAATCCATTGGGAGTCACATCAACAGTTTGGTGCACTCTGAGAAAAGAAATGCACCAGCGATACCGGTTGCCACTGGTGGAACCCTTATTTCTGAGTGCTTTCAGAGCCGATGTGCCCTCGTCCATGTGAGTTAGGCTTTAGAGACGGATGCATATTTTATAAATTCGCCCCGAATTCACTGACATAGAAGCTCTTTGCTCTAATTTAAAGGCTGGTCTTCACGGGGCACTGTGTCTGTACAGGGTTCAAACACTTGTAAAGCGCACACCCAGACCTAACAGTCTCTGAGTGTACACCAGCAGGCACCGACGCCGCAGCCCGCCATGTTATGCCCATTTCCTCTCCCCTGGCTGCTGGTCTGTTTGGCACTGATAACTGCTCCATGGATTTCTTTCCCAGATATCTTCACCGCTCCGTTTTTTAAAATCCTTACTCATTCTTTTTCTCCCCCCGTTGTCAGCTTTGTTTTACAAACGGAGCAGTGATACCGCCTCTCAGAGGCCTCCTACTACTCCCCCATGCCCTGGCCGGGCTGTCGCCCTAGATGTGGCATGACAGCGGTCACAGTCGCTGTGGCGGCGGGCCAAGCACGGACACGCACCTCCATAGGAACGGCGTGGACGGAGTCACGGCGGACGCAGCACACGCCAGTGCTTGGTGTGACCTCACCTTGACCTGCGCGGTGTCTTGGCTGCACCTGCGTGGCTGATACACCCCGACAGGTGCGTGTGTGTGTCTCTGCGTGCACGCCTGTGCTAGCAGTCACCCTGATGCATATTTTATGCTGGGCTGCTGAGTGTGTGGGTGAAACTAGGACATGAAGGGGAGGGGGGGGGGGGGGGGGGGGGGGGGGGGCAAAATGCATCCTGGCTACTTATGGGCGTGTTTGCCCCCCCCTCTGCAGCAAATGAATTTACCTATTCCATTACGCCTTTTTCTGTTTTAACCATTTTCCTTTCACTGCCTTATCATTGAGCCTCAGAGCTCATTTAGAGCTATGGCTATTAGCCACACACAGACACATGTGCATACTCTCATGAACAAAAGGGAGGCGAACAAACAGAGACCACCTCAGCTGTTTGAGGACACTTTCTGTTTAATGTTATTTATAAACAGCTTTTCAGCCTGGCATTGTTTGATAACCACATAGAAAATGTTGGGGCTGCACAAAGGAAGTGAGGAGAGGGGAGGAACGTGGCGGTATGTGTGAATGTGCATGTGGGGAAAGAAAGGAGAAGAAATGGGAAAAGCAGACTGACGGTGAGAGGAAGAGGGGAAGGTTGCTGATGAATAGGAGGTAAGAGAAGACAGGAGGAAGTGCAAGGAGGGAACTGCAGTGCGCTGTTTATATTGAATGAGTCAGCCAAACAAACAAACGAAAGCAGAAAGGCAAAAATGTAATAATTATAATATTGTTAAAAAAATAACAAAGTTCCACCCTCTAGCTCCCTGTTCATTTTTCACAGGAGCTACTGGGACACAACAGAGAGCCAGTTTCTCCAGGTTTTCTTTTTCTGTTTTTTTCTTTTTTTTTCTTATAACAAAAGTCATCCACACGGGGATAAACAGACACAGTTTACATCACCTCTTGGTTCACAGCAGCACAAACAAATTCACTGGTAGGGATCTCTAATCCTACATGTCAGGACAGTGACAGGTTTCTGAACATCCCGACATCTAGATAGATAGACAAGAAAAGGTGGGGCCCAGCGGGAAACACTCACGAGCAGGGTACAAATGTGGCCCCTGCCATTGGATTCCCATCCTGACAAGATGTTTTTTTTAAGGTAGATAACAAGCAACACTCAGAATTTCTTTGTGCTTGTGGTCAGCCTTTTATAACTGTAATTTTTTTACATCAGTCATTATTTTCTTATGAGGGCAGCTTTAAAAAAAAACAAAACAAGACAACAAAAAAAAACAGGGACAGAATTCATTTTCTTGTGCTGTAAGAAACGAACAAACCTTAAGCTATACTGGCCAGTTAAAGTACCCAGATGACCCGTGTTTATCTGTACAGGTTTTACTCATAATAACTTTAGCACTTGATACTTTGCGCAAGTTTATAAAAAAACAAACCAAAAAAAAAACTTGAGGTCCAAAGTCAAAACCAAGTGAGCACCTGTGATGCTCGGGTCTATGAATTGAAAGCCCTGGACTGACGGGAGTGGGGGTCAGAGGCTCGCAGTGGTTTGTCAGGGTGCGAGTGTGCTTTAAGTACTCCAACTCAAAGGGGGTGCAGGGTCCCACAATCCTCTCTGTCCTTATTAATTCCTGGAAAAGAGTCTTGGGCCTACAAATTCGTCGAGGGATTTTCTTTCCTCAGACCTAGCAGCACTGAAATCAAGCACTCCATTCTGGCTTGCAGATAATCGAGTCCTGGAGCACAGCAAATACACCAGCGAAGAAGAGAAAAATTTAGTTGTTTGCGAGTCCCATTTCCCTCTGGTGATCATCATGTATGGAACTGCTTTTGCTGGCTGCTTTCTCCTGTGAATCATCCTCATTTTTATTTAGAGAAAAAGAAAAAGATCCAGACTGCGAGACCTTCCAGTGATCATTTGGATTGAATGATCTGTTTGTATGGTACATAGCCCCCCACAGCATTTCAGAGGAAAGTGCATATCACTTTCAGGGATTCATGAGTTTTATATGTCAGGCACACAGCCCCACTTTTCCTAAGCCTGCAGCCACGAGTTTTGTGTTTTGAAGCTGGTGAGGTTGAGGAATGAATGAAATTGTCTTTTGCCTCTAGAGTTTGTCCTTGTCTGAAACTGGCTCCCATTAGGCACTCTTGATGTCCAGCTTCTTTCTACCCACATGGCTTAAGTGATTGAAAAAAAACATTGGACACCCACCATGATACAAAGCGTAACAGAAATCTCACTCATTCACTCTGAGTGGGGCTAATTAGCTATTAGAATGAGTGGTTAGATGTGAATGGCTTTTAAGTTGGGATGTAAAGGCGAGAACAAATGACAGCTTTCAATGGGACTGCTTTGAAGAATTGGCAGTTATGTTGTTGACACATTTTCACTGTTGTTTCTTTAGGTGCCAAAGATGCAGATATGCATTGAGATATCTGTGAGATGTGGGCGTAAAGCCACTTTATCACTGGATTGATAGTGATTATAGCTATTACTGCTAAAATCCGTCACAATGACTGATTTCACTGCCACTTGTGTCTCCTGCACTTTGTTTCTTGATCTGTAGGTGCTGTCGAGTGAGCAGAGAGACAGCTATTAATGACCGTCTTAGCATGAGTGACAGATCAAGGTTGTACCGAGAGAGCGCTATTGAGTTAAGAGGGTTAACCATTTAGATACTTGCTGTGTGCTCCACTGTTGGTTTAAGTGCATCACTGGCTTGTTATCTTATGTGTCTGTACATGTTTTTTTCAACATAAATTCTGTGAAGCAGTTGATGGCACAGAGACAAAGGTTTTCCTGTTGTTTAACTTGCTGACATCATTAAAACAATGGGCTTAATTGTTTTCCCTGACTTCCATGTATAAGGTATGAGTCATAAAGGTCCCAGCAATGATACCACAAGGATAGAGAATATTGTTCTTTATACACAGTTATCCGTACATGCTTCCTCAAAGAGCCAGAACGGGCTGTTTCAGGAGAATGAATTATAACGTTGCATAACCAGCACAAAAGGATTCATCTCCTGTCTCAGCGTAGGATCACAAAATAGATTGATAGCATTAGAGCTGTAGAGAAACAGGAAATGTAATCTACAAGGTGTGAGCCTGCTTTATTATTAGCTCTCTGGACCCCACTTGGTGGGCCAACAGAAGTTCTTGGGATGCACTTGTTCCTCCTCCTCGCATTTGTGGACATGTCGTATTTACCTCCATCTGGAGTATAGTCTTTGTCATCTCCCTCCTGAAGTACGTGAACCTCATTAACCCCCCCTTTCGCCTTACGACCCCGGCGGGTACAGTTTTTACGACTTCCCTTGGGTGGCCGGGGCAGAGGTGAGGGCGAGGGCAAACTGTACTGGTCCCCATGGGGCAGATATGGCCGCTGATGATGGTTGTGGTGGTTTCTGTGACGATTCAGGTGGTTTAAAGACTCTCCTTGCTCCATCTCTCCACTGGGGCTGCTCCGTGCATGACCCTCTCCAGACAAGCAACTGGGGAGCTCCTCTTTCTTCAGTGTTTTCAGATCCTTCCCAGCCAGCTCTGGTGGTGAAGCACACATCAGTGAGGACGTGGAGCCTCTGAACCTTTTAAGCCAATCCCAAAGCGACAGGGCCTTGCAATCACACTCCCAGGGGTTGTCGTTAAGACGCAGGTACTCCAGAGCTGGCAGTAGAGACATGGTGGTACCAGATAGCTCAGTTAGGGAGTTATTAAACAGGTATAGGGTGGTTAGGCGCCTCAGGTCATGGAATGCCTGACGGTCAACCCACTGGATCTTATTCTGGTGCAGAAGGAGCCTATCTAAGACCCCTAGGCCTCGAAAAGTGTTCTGCCGAAGACTCCACAGTCGATTGCCATGCAGGAAAAGATGACTGAGGTTCAAGAGGTCGATGAACAGGTCATCCTCTAGGAACTCTAACTGGTTGTCCTACAAAGAGGAAGAAGCACAGACAGAATATTAGTTTATATTAGGAAACAGTGCCTTTAACATTTTTTGTGTTACACTCTGCCGTGTCTTGTTTGTTATCTGAAAAGAAAAATGGCAACGCGAGTAGATTATACCTGAATGACTCCCTTTCAGAGAACATCCCTATATAAATGTGGAAATGAGGTCTGTGCAAAACAGTTTATATCCACAAAGTTCACCACTGTCAATCCAGAGAAAAACTGAGCTGTATAAGTGAGTTACATCATCTGTAAGATATATAGCTTTTGGAAGGCTAGAAAATATGACAAGCTGTTGTCAAGGGCTAACAAATGACTGAGGGGTGGGGGAATTTGGGAAGGATGGATTAGGCAATATCCAGTACTCTGCTCCAGATCCCCTGTCCAAATATTTAATGACCATTTCATATAACTTCTGGAGGATGTAATGATGTAATGCTGTATTCATATATGCCTTATGTTAAAGCCCTTTCTTCTTCTTAAACAATACTACTTCTATCCAAGGACCCTGATATAAAACCCTGTTCTTATCCTTTTCAATTCATCAAACAAATACCTAATATCTCTGCAGCCGCAAAACGGAACACTTAAGTAAAAAAACTAACAAAGAGTCAAACTGCAATCAATGTCAATGTTTCTGCTTAGTTGTCATGTTTTCTGAAATGTATTGAGAGATCTTACTTTTGTGAGGCATTTTTGTGTTTTGTTGACTGGTCTATTGGGGTTTCAAGTTTTGTGTTTGCTGAAACCTTACTTTATCTTAAGAGTTTCTGTAGTATTTTCTGAGATTGGGTTGTATAGCATAGGTGATATTTTAACTGCATTTAGGATGGCAACCGTTCAAGTTCCAATTCATTGGAAGTAAATGCTAAAGCAGGCTGATGGGAGAATAATGTTCATGAAATGTGTAGTAGGGATAAAAGGTGGCTGTTGATCAAGTACCTGTAGGTACAGATACTGGAGATTGTGTAGGCCAGCAAAGATCCCTGCGGGCAGGCTGATCAGTCCACAGTGGTACAGGTGCAGGGCGTGTAGCCGGCCCAGTCCGAGGAACGTATCTGAAGCAACAGCCTTAAGATGTCGATTGTCTCCCAGATCAAGCTCTTCAAGGCGGTCGAATCCGTGGAAGGTGGACGGTTGTATATAGGAGATGTTGTTGGAGTACAGCCACAACATGGTGGTAGTTGGGGAGAAGTGGCCACGGAGAAGCCTTTGGATCTTGTTGTTTTGCAAGAAGACACGCTCACTCTGAGCGGGGATGCCCTCAGGCACGGCATGGAAGTTGTGGGCCTGGCAGGAGACTGTGCTAGGGGAAGTGTAGCAGATGCAGTGGCGAGGGCAGGGCTGAGAGAGATCCAGGCCCCACAGCACCAGCAGTAACTCCACTCCACCATAACCTTAGACAGGAGAGAAACGAAAGGACAGAGTCAGAGGATACGAGCAGAGCTGATCAGATCAATATAGCAGAGACTCTGTTATCAAACACATCTTAGACGAAGCACTTATTGACATCAGTGTATAAAGACAACAATTTGCACAGATCAGTGCAGAAAAAAGACAAAGTTTACACAAATCTTCCTCAAAAACATTTTCCAGTTGCTTCAGTTTTTCCACCCCAAACCCTCTATTTCAATATGAAGGCTGCATGATATTTTGCCAAGGCACATACATCTATTTTTTTGGAGTTCTTATTTTTACAGCATGGCATACTCAAACAGGCACCTCAGCCAGTCATACACAGTGCTGTATCCTTTGGTTATCTTCTAAAGGCAACCGAGAACCCACATTTCTTTTACTTACAAGTTACATGTAGCACACCTGAAATATGTTCCCACAATGAGAAAAACTAAGAAAAGGGAGCACGTAGAGGAGGCATAGGACGAGGCATCACCTGCAGCAGGCCTGTGAAGTGGATATTACTTCTTTTTGTCTGCAGATTCCTGTCACGTCACTCAGTTATTTATTTATTTATTCAACTCTTTCTTTCCAGCCTTGGATCATGTCAGTGTTTGAAGTCTCTTAGGGCTGCAGATAAGGGGGGAAACAAGGTAAAGTAGACAGAACTGATCCTGGGAGTAATTTCCCAACAAAGCCAGAGAGAAAAAGCAATATGGATATCGCCTGTCCGCCCGTGTCCGCCTGCCCTCAGTTAAACTCAGAGTACTACAGATTTCTGTGTACAGTTACGTTGTTGCTGGCAGCTGGTAAAACCCTGAAGTGCTGTGAAGGATCAAGACTTGGTTTTGTGGATGTTTGACATGTGGTTCTCGTTGCAGAATTGACAGATGTTATGGACAGATGTCAGGTTAGCTTTAACAAAGCTGTTCTTTGAAAGAACTCTGAAAAGGGATCCTCTGTTATTATGTGACCTGGTACCACTGGCAACATAATGTACACAGTCGTGTTTATCAGTATGTCTATTTTCATGTGATGCTCTAGGGGAATAACAAGTGGGACTTTTTATTTCAAAGGGTCTTCTTCTATTGAAAGGAAACAAGGGTTTATAGATTCAGATGACTGAGCATCAAGTGTTCAATCATTTATGGATTTTTGATTGATTTTAACATTTTATTTGAAATGAAAATGAAGAATTTAGCATCTGTTTCATTAAACATAAAATACTACTAAATGATATATGATTAACATGTAAGACATGTTTTTTTACTCACCACACTTAATTTTATAATGAGCAATGAGCCTGTTTGAAACATCGATCTATTGTGTGCATTGCAAGTTCAATAAAAGACTCAATGACTGTCAATCTAATGCAACTATTCAGTTTAGCATAAGTTGAAGACAGGTTCCTAAGTTAAAAAAAAACAACCTGAGGACTGAGTTGAATTTTTGCAAAACAATCCCACAAAATTAGAGCTGTTTCATCTGAGGTGGAATCATTTGATCACTGACTTTTGTACTTCCATCATCAACTAACAGTTCTTTGGAACTTTACTGTCACTGTAAAGTAAAGTATATATTCATGTTTTTGGAATGTTTGCAGAATGTGGTTTGGCAGTGTTGAAAATACATTACATGAGAATCTACTTCTCCATAACATGTATGCATCATTCAACATTAACATATGTTAGTTATTTCATGCGATCTAATGGAGTCTCCCACACATTCCCGAGATGTTTTCTAAGAAACCCTTTTACAGCACATCTTCAATCAGCCTTAAAAGTGTTTTTTAATGCAGCTACCATCAACAACAAATTAATATAAGCTGTAAAGTCATACGGAGCAGCTGTTCAGTCTTGTAGGTTATCAAAATTGTTTTATCTCCGTTTTTCACCCCTTTCCTTCTGTTCTTATCAGTGTGTCTATGCCGTCCTGGCTTGTTTCATGCACGTCTGCTCCAGAACATTCACACTTGCCTTCCCCCATAGCCTTATCTCTATGGGACGCTCTGCCCCACCTGCTGTGTCTGTTAAAAAGGTGTAAAGCTGATGTTTGTTACTTTGTGTATGTGTGTGTGTGGGGTGGATGTATATATAATTTGGATCTGTCATTGCCTGAGTAGACACTTGCCTCACTTTTTTGACAGCTTTTTTAAAAAAAAAAACCTTGCTTTAAAATCAGCTCACATGTCAGTTACACATTGCTGTTTGTTGGATGCCTTTCAAACTCTGTGTCTTGGTGAAAAGCCACTCCTATACCATGAGGAAGGTGGTGCCAGCCTCAGCTGCACAAACCACACTATCATCTGTCGTCTATTGATACGATTAAGCAAACCTATAATATCTTAAATTATGTCATGTTTTATTGAATTTATTATACATTTTTTTTTAAAGTTCACAGTTATGAGTTTGCTCGATGCATGCTTATGATTTTGCTCCTGGCTTTAGTTTGCATTTCCAATTGCTTTTTCTCCCTTGCTGCCTTTTGTTTACGCCCGTAGTGTTGAATTTTTTATCTATATTTTCATCATTGCTTTGTGTCTAACATCCCCTTTACTCTCTTCATTTTTTTCAGTAATATCCCCTTTTCTTGTGCTTGTTTCCTTCATGCACAGTAGCATTCATGTTTTCCATCTGAAGGGAATGTGAGCTGACTGTACTAATCTCTGCCTGCATCTTAAGTGTGGGAGTTTGTTCTATGTTTAAAGAGTGATAGAGAAAGTTCATTGTTGCTTTTCATTGATGGCAGTGACTCGACTGCCAGCATCTAGTTCTTGAGACACTGTATTAATAATTTGTGTTGTAAAACACAGAATTCAGCAGAGGGATTGTTGCCAGATTAGCTGTCTGTCTACTAAGCGCAGTGCGATGGTCTGCCTCCATTGCTCTGTGTTTGCAGTGGCTCTTTTAGGTCTAGATCAGTAACTCAATGGGCTGTGTGATTCCAGCAGTCCAAACCAGCTGTTCATTGATCAGTGGCCAATTCTACAACAGTAATACACAGTTTACATCTTTAGCAGATGCCTCCAAAGCTACTTACTAGGATACAAGAGAATCCAGCAGTAAGCAATGCGATGTTAAGCGTCTTGCCCGAGGACACTTGGACATGTGGCCCAATTGGTACACAACCTCTCTCTGTTTTGAGCGGCTGTCGCCACACTGAACTGCAAAGTTCAGACTACAGAAATCACCAAATAAAACTAAAATATGTATGTCTGATTGCATAGCGTGGCTGATCTGTAAAGTGTGCTAATGACTGCGGCGAGCCAATATTATAGTAAAGGGAATATGGGTTTTTAGAGTGATGAGTATAGTCTGGCCACAGATCAACATGCCACTGGCCAGAACCCCAGAAATGATGCCTCAGAAGAGCTCATGAAGAACCACGTAACCATTTCTTAATTTTCACTTTGTCACTGGACTCAATTCAAATGGTAAAATGTTGGATGCAGAATATCAGGCTTCAGTGAATACATGCTACAACTGTTATGTAGAGCAGTTTGTGGAAGGACTCACAATGTTATCAGAGACCTGAAACATTTGATCTGATGGAGTTTGACACGCTGTTTCTCACAAAGTTGTTTAGAGTGTTGTCTGTTGCACATAATCAAGACAAATGGTTCACGCCCAGCTGGTTTGGGACTTTGTCATCTTAATGAAAGCCCTGGTTCAAAGAAAATGTATTCCTCCTGATTTATATGGTAGCTGGCAAACAACAAATCAGTTAACTTCCCTTTTTAGTTTATATAGATTTAGATTTTTAACAGATTATTTGAAGGATAGTGTGAAAATGAATTAACATTATATAGCCAATGTTTGCACATTAAATTTCCTGTCAGGGGATTTTCTCTTTTACTTTATTTATTTAGTTTGTTTACTGTAACACTTCAAATAAACAATGTTAAAAAGAATAATCCAAACGTTGGAAATACTCGTTAAACTAACCCAATTTTTTAAGCTTTTAAAATTTCGATTGGCTCTCTATAACTAAAAGTATTCCCTCACTTTGTCTCATTGTGGTTAACTAAAAAAACAAGGGGGCCACTTCATACCAGCTATTGACTATTTCAACAGATGATGCCTTTGTAATCAAAACTGCTTCAGTCCTTTGCTCTCTTTGTCTCTAAGTCTGCTTCCCACTGATTGTTTGCCTAAATTTCAATCTTCGCCCCTCTGGTTAGATATTTGCTGAAAGCTTCATCAAGCACAGCCGGAGTTCAATTACAACAATCGTTTTTTTTTCTCTTTCTCTCATTCTTATTCCTTCCTACTGATCATGTGCACACAAACACACACAGATGGAAAAAAACACAGAAAAAAACAAGCGAAAAAAGAAGCCCAAGCACACGCTGCTTGTCAGGCCATCGTCACAAGCGCCTTCCAAGAACAGCCTGGCACCTGCAGGAGACACCTGCCACTCACTCTGGTAAACGCAAGCAGAGAGAAAGAGACAGAAGAGGAAGGAATCCAGAGAGGGGAGGAATGAGCAATATCATGCTCAAAGGGAATGAGGAACTCTTATAACATGAAAGCGCAGGCACAGTGAAGCAGTGTGGGAGGGGAAAAGAGCAGAACGAGTCAGAGTGTAGCTAAAAAAAGGATGATTGGGATGACAGGGATCTGCTGCGGAGCGCAGACCATTATATAGGTAGGTGTGTGAATGTCTGTCTGCTCTGCATACAACACAACTGTGACTTCAGACAAATTGCCATCTAATTCTGTGACCTTCTGCGAGGTAACTCTGATAAACACCACCAGAGCAATTACACACTTGCATGGAAAAAAAACATTCAATCACAGCAAAAACCTGTGCCCTTCGGGTAAACACACACACATTCACGCAGGCTGCAGGCACATGTACCCACATTTCCACACTCTCAGTCAGTGCTAATTATCACCAGTTGTAGGATTTGACAAAATTAAGCAAAAAGAAAGGACTAAAATAAAATAAAAGTAAGAAGGTGAAATCAGAAATGTGGCAGTGAGGAAGTGAGACGGATGGGGAAAAGAAGAAGATACACCGCAAGCTCTGACGCTCAATATAGATGCGGCTCGCGTCTTGTTAGTGGTGATTTAGCTTAGCATAATCCCAAAGATCATTTAGCATTTCTCATTCAAATGATGATAAATCTCGAGCAGAGTTAATGAGAGATTTAATGGCGTCATTGCTTCAAAGACACAGCTGAAATATCTCTGCAGCAAATAATCCTCCCCTCTCATATAATACAGTGCATTACCATTACATCCATCTTCATATTGGTGACAAACCAGGTCAGTACCGCCACCTCTGCATCACTGATTCCTCAGGGCTAAAAAAAATTACGATTTTATTATGTTGGAAGTTTCTTTTATTCCTACTCTTGTGACCCTAAACAAAAACACTCACACAGAGCTAATAAGAAAATTACTCACTCGCTGGGCCGAATAAGGCAAACGGATGGTTCGTAGCTGCATCCATGTTTTCTGCTTAATGTTATGCTGCTGCTGAGGTCAAGTTGGTCATTCTTATTTGTGTCACATTGTCTCAGTGATTGATGGTAAAACATTGATTTAAATGACCTAAAAGAAATCCCAAATAGTGGAAATGCAAGCTCAGACAATCGGTTGGTAAATAATCAGGTATATGATTAATTGATTTCATATCAAGCTAAACAAGACACTTGATTATGGTTCCAGCTCCTTAGATGTGATTTCAGACAAGGCAAACATGATGGCCCTCCACACTATAAATTAACCCGGACATCAAAGTCTCTCTAGAGATGTGTCTGTCTACTCTTTTCACTTGGCGATATCTTTAAAATACATCCAGGCTGTCATTTTTGGTTAGCAGGGCCAGGCACCTCCGTTTAATGAACTCAAATCTGAAAGGAACATGTCGGCTATTCACTTCTGAAAAGTGGTTAAATCCCCCCATCCCTTGCTCTCATTTGTGCTGTGTAGGGGACTGGAGCGAACAATGTCATAAGACTGACATCACAAAATGCAGAATTTTTTTAATATGACTTAAGATACACATTAAATGCCATTCCAGTCCCCCGTGTTTCCCCTTGACTGTGTGTTTGAACCCCTGTAAGAACACGATTGGGTGTTCTTACATACTGTATGCACTTCCTGGTTTTAGCACATGACTGGCAGGTTAATGAAAGGAAAAATGTCTTATCTTTAGTTGGGATCTCTCTACCATCTTTATTAGTGTCCGGAACTACGACAAACAGGCTGTCCTGCCAACCCAGAATAACGAATGACATGCAGTTGTCTTGAAGCCATTATGTTATGCCAACTGTTTAAAACACACGTGCTATATTTATGAATTTACTACAACTGGCTCTCAGCTTTTGAAGTGTCCTTGAAAAAAAAAACACCAATGAGCAGTCCTCCAGTTGATGACCATATAGGCCATATTGGTCATCCCCTTTAATATAACACTTTTGTAAAGTACTGCCCCCACGCGCAGTATGTGGGAAATAGAGCTCATAACTCTGTCTCCACTTCAAGGCAGAAAAAAAAACATTTTAAGTCAACAAAATAATTCTAATATCTAAGCACACATTTATTAATAAATGCGTTTTCAGCGTAGCTATTGTCACCTGGCTTTATTTGTGAAGTAACGTCAAAAGAAAATTCAATGCAAATTTTAGGTGCCTCTTTTGTTTAACAAAAGAAGGAATGGCTGCTTTAAAACCGTTTTTCAAGGTATAAGAAAATGGTGTGTGGTCCATTTTCCATTCATTGACTGTATTAGCTTCTTTGTTTTCTAGGGTGTACCCCCACTGTAGCCCCTAGCCTGTCCCAGTAACATCTGGTAAACGTGGTACACCATTAAATATACCCCCACAATTCCTATCGGAACAAGTCTATTTTTTTATCTGCATGTGTGACTGAGAGAGAAGGAGTGAGCACAGGCAAAAAAGCAACCTCTACCCCCTTTACATGCAGTAATTGGGTCATTTGAAAGGCTGAGCTTATCTCAACACTAATCACGCTCTAATTATAGTCTAAAAAACTTTGCCGAGGCCTATGTGCCAGACATACTCACACACAATTGCACAAGGTCTGTTCACAGGCATAACCAGAAGATGCAGGTTACCACATTCTCTTTTTCAACCCAGCCTATTAGTGGAAGATATAAACGAGCACGCGGCACTGGTTGCCTTCCTTTCGTATCTCGCTGACACTATGGTAATATGAACCAGCAAGGTAATGTGTCATTGAGACGTAGGGGGCCATGTTCTGATTTTGGTGGGGAGGTGTAGCACCACCCCCTGAGGCATCAGAAACACATTTATTCATACACACGGGATCCTATTTACTATGAATATACCTGGGAAAAACAGTCAATTGTTGGAGCTTTCACTAAATTAAAAAGGAAAAAAAAAAGTATTATCTGCATAATCTGTACAAAGCATCTTTTAAAAAAGGTATATCTAGATTTTTACAATGGGAACGGCAGGCCTGGTGCAGGAACAGCAGCCCAGTGATTAGTGGCGACCTCCATCAAACACCTCCACCCCTCAATACATGCACCTATATGCAGAACCAAAGGGGCACGTACAGACTACCACACAGATGGGTACACCGGTGGAGGGGACGCACCAATCACAGGAATTTTACAGCTGACTGCAACTGATCCGGCTGCAGGAATCTGTTTGTTGAAATGGCGCGTATGAGGGGACACATGGTTGGAGCTGACATCCACACACGTGCTTTGGGGCTGAGAGGTTGACTGCTCTGCTGTGTTTCGCGATCACTAGATCTGGATTGTTCTTTGGCCGACGTCCTCCGTGGAAAGCGGTGAGAAATGAGCCTGCCCAGCAAGACAAAGTGCAGCATGGGGGCGAGCTGCTTCTTCTCTTCATAGCTCTTTGCCAAATCTCCCACAACTAGGAAAATTCCTCTTCCTCTTATTGTGACATAATCATTCCCTGCTATCGGCGCTATGCTGTAGGTATGAATCACCATTTCTCTTCCTCCTACGCTCTCTTCCCATTTGTTGATTTATATTATATCTGTTCCCGTTATCAAGTCTTTTAAAGGCACATCTGTACGCTTTTGACTATTTGCGCTGTATTTGTTTTTGAGAAACTTCTGTCATACTCAAAGATTGGAATTTGCAAATCAAACAGACATTTAGGAAAAACAAGAAAAAAGGGGGGAAACTGGGTTGGAAGATAGCAGATGAGATGGGGTGGGGGGGGGGGGGGGGGTTCTAATCCAAACACCCAGGGTGAGTCATGTGAAGTGTTCAGTTTCAGCACATGTCTGAGAGATCATCTGTCAAAGGGCTGATTTATGGGATCACACGCTGTTACCGCACACTTGCCTTATACAGAGCCAATCGCAGGCAGTCACTGGCCATTTTTTAGCCTGATTTGACAAAAACAGGAGAGCGGGTCTCTCATTAAACAGACGTCCCAATGGAGCATGACTTTAACCACTACAAAAGTGGCAGCGCCTGACGCAACCATTTAGATTCCAAACTGTGTTATCCGGGAGCTGACAAATATGAGACCTACAGCAACAAAATGATTAATGACTTTAAAGCACCACTACATGTGCAATGTACTGCATTGGAATGAATTTTCTGGGTCAGCCCCTTTAATCGATATCCCGTCTGTGACAGGGTTTCTAATCATTTTCAACTGATTCTAATATGACGGTGCCCCCCCCCCCCCACACACACACATACACACACATCCTCCCACTCCCACACATACACATACACACACCCACACACACACACATACACCATTAGGATGATCTCAATGTTCGAAAGTGCTACACTTTCCTTTTTGGCCTCCTTTTTTTTTTTTTAAACCTATTTAAAAAAAAAAAAATTCACTTCTTGTAGAAAATGCATTCAGGTGGAATGACAGAAATAGTGTAGAGGAGACATCAGTGAGGAGTTTTGTAAGGCAGAGGAAAGAAGATTGAGAGAACAGGGGGCGGTGTCACAGCTTTTCGCCATCAGCTAAAGAGGGAGATAGATGAAACAAGAAAGCATGTCGGTTAAACTCCTTACATCAGTCATAAGATCCAGCTAACCTGAAAGTTGCTGGTTTCCACATTAGTCATGGAGTTTTGCTTCTGTGAAGGTGAAAATAATCTGAGTGAGTGTCTCATCTCCCTCTGCTTTTGCTGCCTGGTTTGTTATGCCAATCCCTGTGGGGCTTCTTTTGTGACTCCTGCAAAGTTGTGGTCTGTCTATTTCCCAGCTGTCTCTTGATTTTGATCCACTATATTCTCTGTCTAGAGTAAAAAAAATACTTACCCACCGTAGGATTCAAATGCGGCTCTGAAATGTTTGCAGCTCGCAAAGAAGATGGCAGCTACACAGCCTCTAATCAGGGCTGCCACACAGAAAAAAAAAAAATTCCAGCAAGACTCAGTCACAGCATGAAGACATGCCGTCAAATATGACAAACCCCTTACAAGAACCTTTCAAACACTCGTGCAACACAATCATAATCTCTGCTGGTGAGCGCTATGCTTACTATGTAGCATGAAATAGCTAAAAATAATATTTCACTTTAAGGGTGTCAGAGGATGATACAGAAGTAGGTGAAAAAAACGATTTTCCTTCTCAATAATGTGGGAATACTCACTGCAAATCAGTACAGTAACATGATCCTTTTTTTATTTGGCTTAAAGAGACACTGAACAATTTCAGTGAGGTTTTATATACATGAAAGTGACTGTATAAGCAGCTCACATTCCCTCGGTGGATGGTTAGAGCATCTTGAGAGTTGTATAACACAAATGACCAAAGGAGTTAGTGTGAGACTACGTGGTTGTTTGTCCCGGTCATTTCTGAGATGGACAGGCAGCACACTGCCACAGGCCTGCCAGCAGCTGGGATAGACTCCAGCACCCTTTACAGAAACGGCATGTATGGAAAACGAAGGAATAAAGTTGTTTTTCAGCTATAACGTATCAGACTTTGGCTTTGACTGAATGTACGAGTTGGTTCAAAGGCCGTCGTGCATTTTCTCCAAATGTTAACTGACATGTGTTTGAAAGCAGTTCTTGCTGACACCGGATCTAGTGCCGAGCCAAATGTCAACACAACTGCAACACAAAGAAAGAAAATGTTTTGGGATTCCCACACAGCTCTCAGAGTGTGTTTAATAGCCCCAGTGATGATTAATGAGACGAGTGAGAAATTACACACGGCTTTATTTTTTCAGTCTTAAGGTTTTTGGTCACTTATTATTCTAACATTTAGTCCACATCATTATATTTTTCACAAAGATCACATCATGCTTTTTTACAAATTTCCCATCAACTGTAGGCTTTTAACAAAGCAAGACTTTAAGAATCTGAAGCTAAAATTGAGCCTGACTGTGTATTCATTCTTTTTTTTTTTTTTACCTTGTGCTGATTGTTTCGCAGTGTTTTGGTAGAAAGCCACAAAAGCTTTTTATAGAATGGTTTGCCGACTCCATTTATGAAAGGACACTGAGCACTGAGTTTTTAGTGTAGTTTCTCAGGCTTTGAACATCACTGTAAAGTCTTCACTGGGTGATTGCTGGGCTTTGTAATATACAGAGGAGGTATGGGACTGAAAGGCTAAACCTGGCAAGGGGATTTCTTTTCATATCATGAATTCCTTCCGTTTTCCTATTCTCAAGTTGACGCAAAGTAGAGTTTTTCTTTTTTGCTGTGACTCAGGGTTTTGGGTTTAAGTGAAACATTTTATTTCAGGCAGCGTGAGTCCACTCCTCCTCACCAGAGGCGAGTGCAGCAGAGAGAGGCGTGCTCAGAGTGCAGCGTGTCCCTGATATGTTCGAGTACACGCAATGCTCATCAACACTCCATCAATGCTCTGGTTTGCCTTTCTCAAGGCCACTCACAGCATACCCGAACACCCACAGTTCAGCTCCAAACCATGCAGTCGCACACCCAGAGACAGACCCACCCCCCTTTAACTAAAGCTCAGATAAAAGCTTAAATTAGTAAACACTTTTTTATATTAATTCACCCCCTGCCCTCAAAACACACACATACTTTCTGCTCGTCCTCAATATCACCCTCCTACTCACTCACCTGTATTGTGCCACCTTCTCCTGACTTCTCACAATACTCTGTGGCAACTCATCTCTTCCTTCTCCTTCATTTCTTCTTCACCTTCTTCCTCTCCTCCTCCCCCCCTCCACCCACGTATAAACGCATCTTTTTAGTCTGAATTGGGATTGACCTTTGCGGTTTGGCTGTCAAACCTCATTTTGACACCACTGCTAAAGAGCAAGAGCTTCTAGCTGATTTTTTTTTTCCATTTTACCTCTATGTAGCAGAGCTCTGCGGGGTAAACACAGTAACATGGATGTGTGTGTGTGTTCATGTGCATTCATTTCAGTGCTAGAGGCAGCCTATGATAGCGTTGACCACACACACACACACACACACACACACACACACACACACACACACACACACAGACAACAATGAAATAGATGCTCTTTCTTATATTTTTCATGGTGATACAATTGGCAAGGTAAAGTGTGTTCTTGAACTTCCCTGACAATTATATGCAAACAGAAACACACACAGTTAATTCTAAATCTCACTCTTTGTTTATCTCCAATTCTGTCTCTGCTTCAATTAGAGCCAATATATAAAAATAAAAAGCCTCTAGGTCTCCAAGTGCCTGTTTGAAGTGAAGCACAATTAAAAATAAATGTCCTCAAACGCTAAATGAACTTCCACAGGGCTGAGATGATGCACTAACAAACAATTCCACACAATATGAATGAATTAACCTGCATAGGTTCACAGTGCCACAGACGTGCAACAACAAGCAGATCGAAGATGATATGTTCAGAAACGTTCTAGTCTGCTCATAAATCCTGAGAAGAAATTTAGCTCTTTCAGAAATGTACAGATGGTATTTGTGCTGGGACGTGGTTGGGAATAAATCACTAATGTGTGCAGCTTTCAGAAATGTCTCCCACCGAAAAATGTAACTTGTGCTGCATTCAACTTCATTTCTCCTGAATGTGGAGCCGGAATGGGAAATTGGATTTTGGAGCCATTTTGCACTCCTCTTTAACTTCACCGATTTCTCTGTTGAATGTTTTTAGTGCACAGAGATTTGTGACTTGTAGTATTGTGAATGATCCTTTTCTCTGTGGTTGGCCTTAAAAATGATTAGAGCTCCCTAGTTACACACACACACACCATCAGTGCACGCATATGATGCACAAAACGCCCTGCTGTGTTCAGATGGTGTTTACATCCCATCTCATCAGGCCTTAGGATTGCCCTCACAACGTTTAAGAACCAAGCAATTAACCAGAGCCAGCTTATGACAAAATACACAGAAACACTAATCGACCCCACGAGAAGGGCCGAGACAAAAAACCGAGAAAATGATACATGACTGTAATTTAAAAGCAGAAGTATGGTGTGAGAAACTAATATTTCATCAGAGCAGTTTCACTTTTAAGGTCACATAGTCTCATTACTTACGATAAAAATGATAGATAAAATTAATATATTTCAAAGCCGTTATTGATTTTATCTGCTCCGATCAATTTGTGGATATCAAGTTGCTTTTATAATGGTATTTTTTTATATGGATCTCTCTGTTTGATAAAAGGTGTATGAGCATAATGTCCTCCATTAAACCCACACTGATTAAATCTTTACAAAAATTCACTGCTCTAAAGACATTCTGTTCCATACTGTAAATATGTTAGATGGAAATTCTTTATTAAATTTGAGGAAATTGTAAATCTATTTGGAAAACCTGTAGGATGCCAACTGAACTAAATGCTGTTCTTCTGGACAATGAAAGGCTATGAAATAATCCCAAGACTGCAGTGAAGTTTCAGTTAAATCCATGAAGTAAAATATTATCTTATATATCACAGATATATCGGGGGTAAAGTACAAAGCTGTAAATTAAACATAATGCATTTTCTTTGCACCAACAAGAGTTTCTGAACTCGGGTTTCTAAAGC